ATGCATAGAACCTAGGGGCAGCAGCAGTCGACCCAGCTTGGTTATCAGACTCCAACTTCACCTCGAACTCTCTCGACTCAAATGGCAGAGCCCCAGCAGTGAACAGACTTTTCCTACCATCATAGGCCACCATTTTGTTCCCCAAATGAGATTGACGGTATAACTTGTCCAGTGTAGAAATGACATCTCTGTTGACCTTCTTCGAAGTAACCTCCGGGGTAATAGTGACCTAAAACCAAGCACATTCATGAATCAATCATCCGCACAATAGCATTTTCAAGCATATAAATCCAGATCCCCCCTCAATGCACAACCCTAGGAGTTTTTTTTTACAGCCAGCTCTTCTTCGCAATCCTCGTGAGATGGGGGAAACAGTAAGGAAGAGTAAGACAGAAACAGAATCATAACATAGCAAATGTGTGAGCCACCACACCGTGATAGACTGTTAGGTAAGTGATAGTCTGTTCACTGCTGGGGCTCTGCCATTTGAGTCGAGAGAGTTCGAGGTGAAGTTGGAGTCTGATAACCAAGCTGGGTCGACTGCTGCTGCCCCTAGGTAAAATGCTGCTTCCTGTTAGGTAAAATGCTGCATTCGTTTCAGCCTATAAAAAGAATGTACCTAACCTTCAAGAGTGCAAAATCTGCTATGAAGTGGCCGGTGAAACAGTCGTCGCCACTCCTAGTAGAGAACAAACAAACGATCTAAACAAATATCCAAGTAAACATGAACCTTAGAAAGGAATCAGATCAAGAGAGGTAGCTCACCACCACAGTAGGTTCCGCCTGTTGCTTCGCAAGCTCAACGGGCAATAAAGTTTCCTAAGAATTTGAGATCAATTTCTTTGCCACAAAACTCGCCGTCCGAACCTCCTTTGAAAGCAGACGAACAAACCCCCTGACAAAAGAAAGAATGGAAACGAAACCATCAAGAAAAGAGAGTAAACAAACTAATCACAGAGAGAGAACAATCACTTGAAATCTAAAAGCGTCGTGGAAACTGGAGATTAGTTTCTTCTCCACACTGCCACTGAACCTCACAAATCCGGCATTTGTGATTAAAATAGGCACCCATCTCGAAGGAAGAGAACATAAACACTCATACAAAATCAGAAAGAGAGAGTGGAAATGAGAATAAAAACGAAATTGGAATTCTTCTCCACGCCATAACTGAAATTCTGAAATGAAACACCAGCAGAGTCCATAGCTAAAGGAAAGGAGAGTGAATTTGAACACATAGAATTGTCAGGCCACCTAACTGTTGGTTTGAGGAGTAAATCATTTTGAAAACATACCAATTAGTTAATGGCTGCAAACACCCTTTATAAATTACATATAAGGTACATGAAAACAATAAAATTAACACAATTGAATATATGAATTATTTACTAACTCAACAACTCTTTGGGAATTGAGAGCAGGCAATCTGGCATTTATCGCTTGATTAAACTTCACCAATTATCTAGTAACTATGGTAAATTGATTCATTTTTTTCCACATGGTTGCTTGCTAAAGATCATTCAAATTATTTCACATCATGAAAACTTAAAACTGGGTTTGTAGGAACCAAAGTTTCAGACCGTTATAGGAAAACAAATACCTAGCTGTAACATGACCTTCTCCTCCTCATCCTAGAATAACAATATTCAACTCTAGTCCTCTCAATTGCATATGCAATTAATTCCCTATTTGTACAGCAAAACTCTGGCAAAAAGGGGGGAAAAGAACCGAGACCACATTAGAGAACAGAACATGTAAAGGGAATAAAAGAAGAAGTTACAGAAGAACAAACCTCAATTAATCATAATGAAGCAACGCACACGCAAGTTGAGTTGTGCATCGCTATACCTCCTAATCCACAGTTCCATGTACCCTTGGTGCCACATCAGAACAGACCGGCTACAAACTGTAGAGCAAAGCATATGGGCAACCATAAAACTATAGGCACAAACAAAACCAAACCATAAAATCTATAATGTTAGGGACCATTATAAACCACAAATGACATCCTACTATGCAGATTGCAGGCGGTGAAAGTAGCAAATGAGTAAGTAAAATGAAATCCTTACAATGGGTAAAAGCCTAAGTCAGTTGAGCCAAGATAAAAATATCCCAGTCAATAGTCATGTGAATGCAGAGGCAAGCTATGTAATTTTTACTCTGGCTAGACGTTGTTTCCTTCTATACTTTCGACTGAAATTGTACTGTTTTAATGTTCATTGTAAGAGGAAGTTGTGTTAGGCTGCATGAACTCCAGAAAAAGCTAAATGAATTTTCTATTAACCTCACTGACTCTATTTTCGTCATATAACATCTTAAGTATTGTCGTTTGACACTCGGATGTTTGACTCACAGAACTACCATGTAAGCTGGCTTGAATGAGAATTCAATTAAACTTTAAATTGTGAAGATGACATAGACAACCAATTTAGTGGGTTGGGATTCTAACAGTATTTACTTTCAGGATTTTGTCAAAAACTACAATATCCGCGAAACAAATTGTAAAATCAAAAATGGATCCCATTCACCAGGTACTTACATTGCATGTACGTTGAACAGAGGACGGGCTTCGTTGTCACCTATTCCATCCAGCAACATCACATCTTCAAGAATCTTGTAATTAAGTGAAAACAATAACACTTAATTAAAGGTTTCTGTTATTTATGCATGACTGACAAAATTTGTCAAGGGAAGCTAGCCCATTTGGGACTAAATACAACATATCAGAAAAGGAAATACCTTGCATTGGTGATAGAAGGACCAAGTGGTGGCTTCTAGTTCTTCGAAAGCTTCTGAATAAACACTGTTGCAAGTGTGGTTTCCAACACTTTCTTCGCTCAGTGGCAAAAACTGCAGCCTTCAGTTGATTGACACACGAGATCAAAACATATAACTGGCAATGATTGAAAACAGGTTCAGGCTACAAAAATGGCAACATGGTGCAGTGTCTGACTCTGACTCAATACCAGCGGCGCTTGTTCACGAGTAATAAATAAACAGTACGCGGAAGATAAAAAACATACAAAAACCAACAACAACATCATTAATCACAACCCAGCATTATTCAATTGTTGAGTGAGCTAATTATTTGGATTTCAGTGGGAGTATTACTGGTGCAGACATGGGACCTAAAAAAGGATATTGAAGGTAAACTTCAATCCATTGGTTTGAGCTGCGTTAGTTGGTGAAGTGCATTGACTTGTACGAAATAGGCAATGTAGAATCATGTCTCGTGCTTTGACGAAAAAAGGAAAATATCACACCGACAACTGATTGCTAGAAACATAAAAGAGTATCCAGTGAGGCCAAATAAACAACAAATCTACTAAGTGGCACTCAAATGTAACTCAGGGCATTCAGTTCGGTATTCTTATATCACCAGCTGAAACCAAAACAAAGCAAACCAAGATTTTGAAGCAATTTAGTTGCTGACTTAACCTCTCCCACTGATTTTAAGAGAGTTAAGGATCCTGGTGTACTCTTCTAATCTTCCTTCCCATCAAACCCCAAACTCAGCTCTCATGTGGCAGTAGGATTCAAGTAAGGATTAAACCAACCACACATAGAGAGATCCTATGTAGACAGGAGAAACCAGCTAATATGAAGTAAAAAATAAATAAATTTATAAACGACGTAAACCCGACTGAACTTAACATTCAACGTAACCTAACATTCATGTGTGTACTGTGAGATGGAAACAAAGATTACAGAGACCATACTGAAACACAACATACAACGTCATGGTCTGCCTTTAATGAAAAGAATTGCAAAAAGAACAAATAATTAGTTGAACACAACTCAAGCTGGTTCACAAAGAATCTTACCATTAATGAGATCTAGAATTCTGGAAATAGACTAAGCAAACCAAATGGAAAAATGATGCACCTACTCTTAACAACTCCTCGATGTTCCTAACATTTTGTTCTCCACTTGATGATACTTCAGTCTCTGAGCCTAATTCTCACTTACCTTTGCCCATCTCCTTCAGATCATGTTTCTGGGAGGCAACTGCAATGAGACTGAAGTCATGAGTAAGAAAAAGAATGAGATCATACAATGCAATCTGTAGAAAGTAACTGTCTGCAGAGTCCGCTTTCAAACCCAAACAAAGTGAGATAGCTTCTATTGTTTCTATCCCTTTTAGAAGATACTTAGGGATAACTTATCTAAGAACATATACACCTAAACTAAAATGGCAGCTGAAACCAGTAGCAAGAACCACTCAAGTACTCTCCGTGGTCACTATGTATCTCCAAAGGTGGATTACAGGCTGGTTCATCAGTCATAGAGTTAAATGGAGACAATAACCAAAAACTAAATCCACAATGTTGTCACTATTAAAGGACTCACCGAGGAGAAGGCTTCCTTCACTTGAGCAATTCCTATACTGTACTAATTCTTTGATGGCAATTCCAACTGACCAAGTCCAGGAATCCACAACCCATCTCCCTGGTTCAATTTCTTTACCTTCTTCAATGAGTCCATCAGAAAAACAGGCCCGTCAAGAAAAATCATGTTTCAATTTCAAACTTGAAATTAAAGCTTCTCTCCATCTATCTCTCTGGCCAAGCTTTACATGAGTTCCTCTTGTAAGAGAGAACAAGTAACCAGCAAGAAGTACGCTTGACTCCAAAACCATAACCGGAATTAAATTTTCCCAGGTTGAATGTAATCTTACGAAGCTACTAAAATATAGTAAATAAAATGGATGAAAATACGCTAAGCTTTTGAGCTACAGAATACATACGGTGTGGCTGATATTAAAAGCACAAGAATCTTCAACAGGGATGCTAGCAATCTACTATGAGTTTCTTGCTGGATTGAGTACAGCAAGCCTGAAACACAGCAAACCAGAACGAAGCATGTAAGCAGCAAGCAACAAATGTCAAAAATCACAGTCAGCACAAACGTAACTCAACCACGACAGAATTCTCTCTGTTACCAGCATGAAGTTGCATAAGTATAAGTCCAAGTGAGCTTGACAGGGCCATAAACGGCCCCCTCTTGCTGGACTCTTTGTACTCAGCTACCTGCAGGAAAACTGATGAAGGGCCATCCAGCATGACTGCCAGAGTGGATGCGGATGCCATCCGTACCTGTATCAATTATCATACCAACAGTAAAGGAAGTCGATGATCACACCTTAATCCTAATTTTAAGAAGAATTAGGCAAATCAAGATTCTAAGAATTGGAAGCAGGGCCAGCATGTTTCATCTCTGCTGGAAAACAATCCAAGTCCAATAAACAACCCAGTAAATACCTTCAAATAAGGATCAAACAGCAAGCAAGTCAACAGAGTAGCTTCAAACTTCCTGCGCATTAATGAACACTCAATTACTCAAGGAACAATTAACTCACAAGAAATAACCAAAGTGATCCTGTGATGATCTTACCTTGTTTCTAGTACGTCAGTTGTAGGCAAAATCATAGTCCACTGAGTGGTAAAGGATCTGGGATCAGCTAGACAAAGATCCTCCAAGAAACAAGCAAAATGTTGAGAGTATTAGCATTCTGTTAATTACAAACATAGTGACAAATACATTATACATATGCATTTTCATCACAAGCGCTGATGAGAGGATAGCAGAAAATACTTACTTGTAGGCAAACTATAGCAGCAGTCCTGACTTTTGAACTTTTAATAGTATCATTATCTTTAACAGATCCATCACTGTCACTGCAATCTGAATCTGATGAAATAAGTTCCAATGCAAAAGACTCTTGATCAGAGGAAGTGAGGAACAAGATAATTCCTGAGCTTTAAGCTGCTTCATGTTTACATTTTCCTTTCTGCGCAGGTGAGGAGGGCGATACGGAATACGCTCTTTCTTAGTGTCTTCTGAAATCAATTTAGCAGCATTCTTATGTGTGCCAGCATTAGTGGAGTATAAGGGTTGTGACAGGCCATACGTAAAGAACATTCGCAAAGTTGCCACAAAAGCAGGAACCTGTGAGGATGACAAGTATCCATACTGTAAGGCACACAACATTCCTAATATCAGGAAAATAATCCTCAAACCTGACAGCAAAGATTCACATACATGGTCATTTTGAAAACCCTTAGCATTGGTAAGAACCAGATGTAGAAATCCAAGGAGCGGAACATAAAACCTGTAAAAAAGTGCATCATCATACTTGTAGTGCACATGAATTACAGAATCAAAGCCATAAGGTTGTGCACTGTAATGTGTGTTTAAGTGCATCTATTGTTATTAGGTTTAGACGGATAAATTCTAAAAACCTTGTCGCAGGAGCACCTTCAACAAGGAAGTTCTGAGACAGTAAGACGTCCATCACTTTCCTAATGACCTGGTTATGGATCGGAGGGAAAAAAGTATATCAGTCTCTTTTCCCAAAAAACATCAAATCAGTCAAGCCCGCAACATACCTCCATAGCAGATTGCCAAATATAAGTGGGGAACGAAGACCCGATTCTTGTGAATGCTTCACTGAGCAAAGTAAATGCGGCTGTTGGAACTTCCCACAACTGATTGCTTTTAGATAACCTCTTGCCAGTTGAGACGCAACATTTTCACTGGTGCTCGTGCAAGTTGACAACAGGCACTGAGCATGATAACTTTCAATTACTCCGAGAAGAAACTTTGCCAAGTGGACATCATCTGATAGCAAACTTTTCGGCTGATAGATGGAGGCCAGACATCTGGGGATTCAAGAAACAGCATAAAGTATTCAAAGTTTAGCACGCCAGTCACATAACATATCAAATAATAAATAAGAAGACAAATGTAGACACTATTGTCAAACAGAAAAGCCCAAACCTAGTCATAGACAGTAATAGATTAAGTTATTGGAAAATAGGCCAAGTGAGTGCACAAGTTGACAGAGTGAAGAACCAAGAACTAATACCTTACGGTCCCCAAGCATTCCACAGCGTGCCCCAACGAAAATTGGGGTCTGGAACCAGCTTGGCCGAGGAAGAAGTGCACCATAGCGGAGAAACAGTTGATCACAACAACCCAAGAAGAAGAATTCAATTGAAGAGCGCAACATTTTCACTGGTGCTCGTGCAAGTTGACAACAGGCACTGAGCATGATAACTTCCAATTACTCCGAGAAGAAACTTTGCCAAGTGGACATCATCTGATAGCAAACTTTTCGGCTAATAGATGGAGGCCAGACATCTGGGGATTCAAGAAACAGCATAAAGTATTCAAAGTTTAGCACGCCAGTCACATAACATATCAAATAATAAATAAGAAGACAAATGTAGACACTATTGTCAAACAGAAAAGCCCAAACCTAGTCATAGACAGTAATAGATTAAGTTATTGGAAAATAGGCCAAGTGAGTGCACAAGCTGACAGAGTGAAGAACCAAGAACTAATACCTTACGGTCCCCAAGCATTCCACAGCGTGCCCCAACGAAAATTGGGGTCTGGAACCAGCTTGGCCGAGGAAGAAGTGCACCATAGCGGAGAAACAGTTGATCACAACAACCCAAGAAGAAGAATTCAATTGAAGAGTCACACGTTGAAGCTTGCAAATATGCATGCACCTGGGTAGCAGCAAACAAACCATGTAACATTGAATATGCTAAGCCTGAAATGGAGAAGCCAATAGAGCCAGTAAAAAACGAAGGAGTACCAAAGAGGAAACATAAACATAGATAGGTGACACATCTTGGCCGCCTGGAGAACTTGCAGCCAGTTCCATTAAGAACAGCAGATCAGAGGTCACCTGAAAATTCAAAATTAGTAATGAGGTTCCCCATTGAACTTTGTCTTTATTCATTTCTATCATGGAGTGCTAGGAGCAATTACAAAGATGCAGTGGTCGACTAAACTCTATATTGAGTATCCAATGAGCACTTGTACAGTAACATAAACAGCATCAAATTGCAGTGTACCTCGTGAGGAGGAAGGTCGGGGGCGGCAGACATGAGAGCCCGGAAATGAGAGAAAATGAGATCATTGAGAAGTTGCGTTATTGACTTCGATTTAGGCCTGCTCGTTAGGGTTTCGTCCCGGAGAGTCAGAAAGGCAGTCCTCCAAGCTCTTATTGCCGAAGACGATGACGAAGAAGGAGTATCCGAAGAAGAGGAGCCCAACATTCCGGGCAAGCCAGAGTATATCTAATTTGAGCTCCTATGTAGCAGCAAATCCGGCACCCTGGATATTTGATTCAGTCGAAATGTAGAAAATTGGGACAGTCAAAATGGATGCGCAAATCACGAACGAGCAACGTCTGACGAAATTACGTTCAGCAAAGCCGCTAGCTGTTACTTTTTTGCTTTTTACTTGTTCTCATAAGCTAGAGAGGATAAAGTAGTAGGCTAGAAAGCAACAAATAAACCCCAAAAACTAATAATGAAAAGCAAAACAGAAGTCAGAAACCGGCTTCACACCCATACCTGATTGAGATTCTCAAGTAATTTTACTTCTTGCTCCATCGCCTCCTGTTTCAGCATCACTTCCGTCACTGCCGGAACCACCAAAAGTTTATTCCAACCTAACCTCCTTCAACGCAAGGAAAACCTAGAACTATCCCCACCACCCGCCGGCCGCCGAAGACCACACCCTCTCCCCTCGCTGTTGTCTCCTCCAGCCTCACTTAGAGTCCATCGACTCACCTCCCACAACACTCCTCCTTCTTTCCCCTGTTGAAACCTCTCTGAGGAAAAGATCGCCATCGTCAGGAAAACTCACTATATCCAGCCGTCTCTCCTTCCTCGACAAACTTGCCGATTCATCGCCGATGTCGGAGTTTTGGCTCGCCGATGTCGGAGTTTTGGGCTCGCAGAGAGAGAAAGAAACAACATAGAAGCTGAATCGTAGAGAGAGGGAGAGCACGATTGAGGTGGTCGGGCTTTGCATTCTTCCTCTTCTCTTCATCCTCTTCTTCGTCTCCCTTCTTCTTCTTCTTCTGATGAGAGAAAAGGAGAGATGAACATTGACTGGTTGGTGGAAGGGGTTATGGGAGAGAGATGAATAACAAGTGGATAAGAACAAATACAGGAGAGAGATGAGAACATAATTATGTTTTTGGTCCTTAAGCTTTGATCAATTACAAAATAAGTACTTTTAGTGATGTGCCATTGGTTTGATGGGAGCCGCCTGAACGCATCAGAGAAAATGTCAGTCAGATACAAGAGGGCAAAAAAAGCAAAAGGAGTAACAGTGGCGGGATGTGACTCTAAGAAACAGTAACTTGTAACTTGTTCTTTTAAAGAGATAATAATTTCGGATAAGGGATGGCAGTTTTTCCCGTTTTAAGTAGTGGAGATAGATGGAATTGAAGAAGCATTGGCTCGGCCGCCGACTGACTGACTGCACCTTCTGGCCTCTGGGCCTTTCGTGCCGATGAGCTCTGCAATTGCGTCATCATCGCTTTTCTTGAGTTCTTGGGGAAACCAGAATCTGGGCTAGGAAAGGAAAGGTCCATTCTGTTAAATTAAATTCTAGATAATGAATGCCCGATTTTTCCCATGCAAACTCGTCTCATCAAATGGTAATTAACTAATTGTTATTATCAACTAATTAGGAATGATTACTAAGTGGAATTAGCTTCCACTTCCAGAAGACATGCACTTTCGATTTGGATCCATGACGACGACTATTAATTGTCAACGGATGAGGAGGACGATGATGTCAGGGATGGCATCAGCTAGTTTCTGATCTTGTAGACCAGAGTTGACTTCTCGTGTGGTTAAAACTTGGGGGTTGGGGCCAACCAGGGAGGCTTTTACTGTCTGATTAGAGCCTTCTTCTACAATTGTATGTGTTTTACTTTTTTCTTGCCTCTTCCTCTTTCATATTTGTAATTTGATGGGGTCAAAATCAATTTGTCTTGTGACTTGTGAGTTGCGGCCTCGGCTGGTCGTTTGGGTTAGGTGAATGGCCACCCGCCCCAAATGGCTCCTATAGAGTCAAAGACTATGTTTTGTTTTGAGCCTAACAGATGGGATTTTTCTTGAGTTTGTCATCGCTCGCTCGGCCAATGAGAACTTTGTTCTGCTAATATCTACCCATTTCATAGCCATATAGAATCCACTGTCAAGCAGTAGTGGCAAATTTGGACGTGCTTCATCCCCATGTTATCCGATTTGACCCGCAATGGAGTGGTAATACCCTAACCACGCACTAGTGTGTCACATGGACGTGGATATTAATTTCGTTTTGTCCCGTGAGCTGTGACGATTATTTTTTATTTTTATTTAGATATAAGGGTGATTGAGATTACTTTTTTGTGATTAAATACTACTGAAAAGATTCGAACTTGAAACCTCCAAATTCAAGGCTAATGGTATTATTACTAGACCAATATCTTGTTTGTCTGTGACGACTCTTTCTTGACCCATTTTAGTTTTATTTTCCCTAAATAGATTTTTTATTCATCTAATTTCGACTTATTTGCACGAATATTATTCAACCTGATCTATACTACTTTCGTCTTGTCGTATGACGACTCGTTATTTTTTATAGATAAGGGTGATATATGTTATTTTGTTTGTATTTAAATACTACTGAAAAGATTCGAACTTGAAACCTCCAGATTCAAGGCTAACAGTATTACCACTAAACCAATCCCGTGTTCGTCTATAACGACTCTTTCTTGACCCATTTTAGTTTTATTTACCTAAATACATATTTTTATTCATCTGATTTTGATGTATATGCACAGATATTATCCAACGTGATCCATACTTGATATATTGAGAATATGAACATTGAACTACCCGTCTCACTCCGTGTCCCTATTTATCTCCATATCCCCCTATTTAATTCTTGTCCTTTTGGTTTTAGGACAAGAAAAGAAGTGATGGCAAAAGTTTAGATAGCCCGACTGAAATTGGGCCGCGTAGTGTATGTTGGCTTCATTCTCCGTTTAACTGGGCCACTTGTGATCTAGCTAACTAGCTCATATCATCATATTGATTACTCGAGTTGAGCAATCCGTTGTATATGAAATTGGGCCGCATCATACTGTAGTTTAGGGCTCCTAAGCAGTAGCAAGGGTGCTGGGTTTTATTAAGTCTCCCAGAAACAAGGTAAACTGGGCTATTAACTGAGGCCCAATCATTACCAGATAAGTAGCCCAGTTTACTTATTGATCCAGTCCAGATAAGTATGTTGACAAGCTGCACTTAACTTTCATTTTATACCAAGTTCTCCATCTCAAAGCTTTGCTGTGTCTTTCAATGTGGTATAGTTAGCCACCTTCACTGCCATCCACCTAACACTCGGAATCGTCCGGTTAGGGTTGCAAATGAGCCGAGTTGAGCCGAGTTTTACCACAGTTTGAGATTGACTCGTTAACAAATGAGCTGAGTTCGAGCTCGCGCCACTTATTAACGAGCCGAGTCGAGTTTGAGTTAGGCTTGTTTACTAAATTCTTAGATCGTATTTGATACATTTATTTTGTATGTCGTGTATGGTACATGTGATTGATGTAAATATTAAAAAATAATCAAATGTTCAACATTAATTAATCTTATATTATAATTTGTAGGTGTCATATTGGTTAGTTAATAAATTTTAACTAGTTCAAATCATGTTATTTCATAGTATCGAAACAATTTTGTACATAATTTCTTTATAGAATTAAAAATAAGGCATATTTTCTTACCCCTGTGTTTCGGAAGGGAGGAAAGTGGGAGGAAGGGAAAAAGGCAAGGGGAAACACAAGTCCCGAGGCATTTTCTTCCGTTTCCGAAACTTTTTTTTTTTTGACAAGGAACAATCTTTATTGCAATCCAACTGAACCAGTTACAAGAAGAACATGAAGAACCATAGAAATGGATCCAGTGAGAGGAGAGAAACAAAGAACAATCGGTCAACAAACTGTGCTCAAAGGATGCAACAAGGGAGACACAAAGCACAGAATGAAAACCAATCACAGAGAAGATCCAAACACACGGACCAAAACAGGAACCACAAAATCCCTCTTGTAACCACTCAATCAAACCACAACAAGATCAGAGTCAGCTTGTCTGATCAAATCGATATCCATGACTGTTGAGCAAAGCAAAGCCATTTGCCGCCTCCTGGGGATAGCACGAAGACATCCATCACAGTGAATCTCGGTGAAGATTACATGGCGGTGGAGAAGGAAATGAACCAGAATGCTCCAAGTTGAGAAGGCAGAGGGGCTAGGAAGAGAGATCAGGTTCCGAAGAGGTCCAAAGGCCACCGCTGAACCGATTTCCACCGCTGCAACCGGAGAAGACTCACTTCCACAAACCAACGACCAACCAAGCAACACCCACATCCTGGGGAGGTCGGAGAAGGAAAGATGAGAATGGCTTCATCAAAGAGATGAGACCACCAACTTGGAATACCAGCCACCGCACGGGTCAGGTCGAGACTCCAAGCTGCAAACACCAGGTCCCCCAAACGAGCAAGCCAAGGCTAGGAAAATCCTAGATCTGAAATGCCATAACGGCTGGAAAGACTGAAATCCGAAGCTGAAAAAGCCTAAAGCCAGGTCACAAGAAACAACGACAGGAAAACGAAGAAAAGCAAGGAAAAGGAAGGGCATGGGCTACCGCCAGTCACCGAAAGGAGCCGGCGGCAGCCCTGGAAGGCAGAGGAAGCTGAGGTTTTTTTAGAGAGAAGGGAGAGCAAAGATGGGAAGGTAAAGTAAGAGAGAGACTGGATGCTTCCGTTTCCGAAACTTGCTACAGAATGGAAGGAAAGAAACTAGGAAGGAAAATCTACTGTAGTGCGTGACCCTCCGATTTGGAGAGAAAATAACTCTCCGCGTTGCTAGCCTTCCCTTTTTTTCCCCCGCGTTGCTAGCCTTCCCATTTTCAATCACAGCTCAAGATTTTTTTCCGTTTTCATTGTTTATTAACTTCATTCATTTGTTATTTTCTTTTCTGCTTTACGAAGATATGGGAAGTTAATACTTCCATCCTTTATCATCATTTCTCAATTATAAATATATTATTTTTACTCAATCAATAAACATATTTATTATTATGAGAATTTATGGCTTATAGGCTTATAGCAGTAACAGGTTGAGTGGATTACCGTTCTTGAACAATTTAAATATAACTAATTAGTAATTTGTCATGTCTTTGGTATCCTTTTATTCGGGAAAAAAAAAATCTTCTTTTATATGTGAGTGATACAGATTTTTTGTGTGATTTAGGTATTAGTAAAAAGATTCAAACTTGGAACCTCCAAGTTCAAAACTAGTGGTATAAAATATTTATTATTTAATTATTAAAGAATTACTTTAAATTTTAAATATTATTACTACGTGACGTGACACTACGTATCGCACACGTGCACACCACATAGGAGTCGTTATACCAGGTTGACAAGTGATAATATCATGTGTTTCGACCGGTAATATGTGTCATTTCAAGCAACAAAAAATAATTAGTGAGAAAGCACAAATTTAATTCACAATTCATAACCAATGAAAATTTATCAACATATAATCAAATTATTATACTATTATATACCCAATAAAATAACTTACAATCACAATTCCCAATACACATTTTCCTTCCCACTTTCCTCCATAAAACACCATTTTCCTTCCAAATTCCTTAACCTCCAAATTATCCCTCCCCTAACGTTGTCTAGGTTTATTTTTACAATAACAATTGTTCTTGGTTATTAAACATAATTAATAAAAGTTCACTAAGGAAATATAATTTATAAAAGAGTAAATACAATATATTAGCCACAACTATTATGAAGCGGGGAATTATAGCCACAACTATGGAAATTCAAATTATTAGTCAAATGTTAACTCTCTGTTAACAATTCCGTTAGTAATGCTAAATAAACTTTTGTGTTTTAAAGTTATAAATTAAAAGCAGTCCGACGTGGCTGCTGTCGTGACCTTCTCCGTTAAAAATTCATTAAAAACATAATTTATAAAAGTATAATTATGATTAGTAGTTATAGGTAAATATAATTATAAAAATTCTTATTATTGAAAATCAAGTTCTTAATACTGAAAATTTAATAATAAAAAAAACAATCACCATACAAAATAATATTGAATCAAATGTTTAAAAACATCATATTCCAAAACCCATAAATGACAAAAAGAATTAGTACAACATTGTTTTTACGCGTAACGTTGTTTTTACACGATACGTGAAATTTATAGCAAGAATGCAAGATGTTTATCTACTTATTGGATATTTAGACCGGATCGAACCGAACCAAACAGGTGATTTAGACTGCATGAGTCACACAAAACGTTGTTTTACACAACTACGTGTAACGTAAATGTGTGTTAAGTTTCAAGTAAAACGACATCAGAGTGTTACATTTTTTATAAAATGGACGTCATCTTGTACTACAAAGGTAATCAAATTTGTATGAAAAAATAAAAAGGCAATATTCATCTGTGTAGCCAAAACTTTGACGTTTGTGACAATAATAGCCACTTTTGGGGAAATACCAATAATAGCCAGAATTTTGAAACTTTGATGACAATAATAGCCATTTCCGTCCAAAACTTTAACGGTGTTACAAAATTCCGTCTGTTAGGTTAACGGTACGCTGACGAGGATGCCAAATCACTGCCACATCAGCAATAACTCAACCTTAATTGCCACGTAGATGCCATGTCACAATCTACTTTAAAATATATTTTATATTTACTTTTCATTTAGAAAAAAAAAATTATTTTATTTTAATATTTATCTATCTCTTTCCTCCCTGCCTTCTTCGTTTGTTGCCTTCTCCCTCTTCACAAACCAACCATTGTCGATCTTCTTCCCCAAACTTCTCCCCCGATTCCCCCACAGGCCCGCCCCACCCATCCGGTCGTCGCTCCAACCCATCTCTTCAATCGCTCCAGTCGACTGGTCGGGCATCTCTGGGAGTCTGGGTTTCGCCTCAACCATAGAATTTGGGGAAAGAGGGTCATTGACGAATTCGACAGCGGCAACTAGGCAAACAACGAGACTCATGACGATTGGGGGCAGGGTCGTAGCGGACGGAGTAATGGCGGCGACTTCTTCCAAAACGACGGCGGCGGGATCTAGAGATGAAGGGAGGCGGTGGCGGCTGAATCCTTCTTCCTTGTTTCACTCGACCAAGAAAGATTGTGGGCAAGGTCGTAGAGGACGGGAGCTACGACGATCCAAGCAGCAGCCGGAAGGGTGTGGGAGTTTCAAAAAAGCCCCTTCCTCCTACCTGGTTCGTCTCCCAAATCTCCCAAAAAACCTCACGACCGTCTTCGCCTCTCTCTCAGATCACTCTTTCACTTCTGTCGATCCGAATCTCGATTCCAGATTCACTGGGCCTTCGCCACCACTCGCTTGCCGGGAAACCCTCGTTCACTTTGCTTCAATGGCTTCGCGCCTGCTGCGAATCCGAATCAACCCGACGCCAACAGAGTAGGTGGCGGAGGATTAGCTAGTGGAGGCAGCTGTTTCTGCCGCCGGAGGAGGAGCCCTTTGCCAAATCCCTAGTCGCAGAACCGAATCACATAGTCAACGTCTCCTCGACGACGATTGGTGCCGTGAGGTTCCCATTTTGGGTTGTTCTGGGTTGTTCCAGAGTGCGGCTGCTGCGTACGCGGTTCTCAGAGCAAAAGGCGAAAGATGAGGCGGAGGGGAAGGAGGAGGCAGTGGAGGAGCTGAATCGGTAGATACGGCGGCGACTCTAGTGGTGTTTGAGTTGTCGATTAGAGAAGTTTTTTGTTTTATTTATTTTTTTGTTTTTATTTTTCATAAATCAAATGACCAAGCCATTTGAATTTTTTTTAATTTTCATTATTGTTATTTTATTTAATTTTTAATTAAATCCACGTGGGAATATGCACAGGCCGAAAATCGCCAGATCAGACAATCCGTTAGTCCAGTCAGCACGTTAACTAACACCGTCAAACAATTGGACGGAAGTGGCTATTTTCGGTATTTCGCCAAATGTGGCTATATTTGGCCAAACCGTCAAAGTTTTGGCTATACAAGTGAAATTTATAGCAAGAATGCAAGATGTTTATCTACTTATTGGATATTTAGACCGGATCGAACCGAACCAAACAGGTGATTTAGACTGCATGAGTCACACAAAACGTTGTTTTACACAACTACGTGTAACGTAAATGTGTGTTAAGTTTCAAGTAAAACGACATCAGAGTGTTACATTTTTTATAAAATGGACGTCATCTTGTACTACAAAGGTAATCAAATTTGTATGAAAAAATAAAAACGAGTTAAATGAACAATATATGTTCCGTTAACAAATAATAAAAATGGTCATTTTTATGTAAAATTGGTTATTCATAATATTCATCTTCGCATTTTTTGCATATACTTACTATTACATAATCAATAAAATAACATATCTATCACACTTCCCTATATACTTTTTCCCTCCCTCTATCCCTTTCACTTTCCCCCACAAAACAACATTTTCTCTCCAATTCCCTTCCCTTTCAATTTTCCCTCCCCTCCAAATGGTCCCTCCCCTCCCCTCCTTTTCCTTCCCTACTTCGGAAACAGGGGTACATGTTCAACATGTTAAACTTCACATGATTTGAGATATATAATTTAACAATCCTATGAACTATGAAAGTCCAAATTAGATCGATTCGTCCATAAGTCGGTGATCAAGTTGGCCCTCAAACCACAATGTTGAGACGTCTCATAAGCTCTAAATGAGCCAACTCACGAGTTGAGCTCAACAAGACACCGAGTCGAGCTAGCTCGCGAGCTGAACAAGGCTAAACTCAAACTTGACTCGTTAGTAAACGAGTCGAGTTTCGTACGAGTTTTTCCCTATTTGAGCCTCGAGTTGTTCGACTCATTTGCAGCCTTATGGGCGGTAAACTCAACGGCTTATATTAACCGAAACAGAGTAATAGGACAGTTCAATTCAACTGTACGTTGATCGATCCCCTGCTTTTGGCTTTGGGTTCGATCTCAGTTAACCAAAATGAATGGATAGATAGAATTTGAGTGGCAGGGGAAGGAAATGGGAAGTAGGAAGAGAAAAAGGAGGAGAGAACCCTCCCGGAATTATGGCGGAAAGTGGTAGTTAGTTGTTGGAATTGGAGACAAGAGAGAGGAGAGCAGACCATGTTCAACAATTATAACTCGTTTGCTATAACAGTCCAAAACAGAGCAGGTAGCTAGACAAAAGGCAGAGGTTAAAGCGGCCACCCAAATAAAGAACGTTAAACTCTCCTTTTCATCATCCTAATCCACTATCAGAGGACAAAAGTAGAAACCCTTTCCCCCCATCATTCCACCAGATCGCACCATTTGGCTAAAAAAAACAGGGGATGGTATGATTGAATGACTTTTAGTCGTTAGATCGACACGAAGACGAAACTTTGCTAGCATTATCAGGCACTAATCTCAAAACCCATGTGGTTAATTAATGAGGGAGGAGGAAGAAGACAACAGAAACGAACCAACCTGCTCTGCTGCGCAGCTGCCCACATCCATCACAGTCTTACAGTGAGTGCACTAATCCGATAATCCATTATTAATTGCTCTTAGAATCCCATTAATTAATCATCCCCACGGAATCTAAAGAATTCCATTCTAATCATCAACAGAATTCCAGTCCAGCACATCTATTAATCGTTACATTACATTTGATTACAATACACAATCAAACAAAATTTGATCTACCTAGCAACTTACCATTTACCACCAAGAATGCCTGGATCCCAAAATCCCAATCCCAGTATCCCACCCTGCCGACATTACTACAAAAAGAACGGGAAATGAAGCAAGAAATTACAGTAGACCAACACACAGAGATCAAACAAACAAACAAGCAGACAAATTCACGCCCTGAGCTGGGAATTTCATTTTCCACCCACACTCTGTTTTTTTTTTTCTGCTCACTCAAAAAAGAGTTTCCAACTTCTTACGCCCTGCAGCGGGTGATTCTGGAGCAGCCGCGGGAGTAAGGGTTGACCGGGGTGCGGGCCTTGTAGCAATTGTGGGTGTAGTACGACCTCCCAGATCTCGCCGGGCAAGGGATCCGATTCGCCGACAGAGCTCCGTACGAGATGTAGTACGGCCATCTCCTCCAGAACAGAGACCTCCTGTTGCTGCTACCGCTGCTCCCTTCTTCCTCCTCTGCTTCTCCGTCCCAATCGGCCGACGCTCCGTCCTTCGAATCCAAGTCGCCGCCGCCGTAGACGGACATCGCGATCGGCCACTCCTCGGAAGCGACGGAGCTCAGCATTCCCTCGCCGCCGGTCGCCGAAGATGGGGTCGAATTCAACGATCCGACCAGCAAGAGGAAGATGAGAAACAGGGGAGGACGGGTTTTGTTGGCTGCCATTGTTTCGCAGAGGAATGGGTTTTGCTTGCTTGGTAGTGAGAAAAGGGGGAAAGAGAGGAAGGAAGGAAGATGAGAGTGGGAGAGGAGAGTAATTGAATTTGGGGAATGGAGGACAGCTGTGCTGTGGGCTTTCATTCATCAATTTGCGCCGTACTCTGCTGCAGCTTGTCGCGCGCTGCTGGGTGTGCTCTGTGCTGTGCTCTTTGTTTGTTTCAGAGGTCTGGGATGGAGGAGTGATTGGGTGCGGCGAGTTCTACGGGTAAGGGAGGGGGTGTACGGTGAAGATGATATGTAGGGAGACGGTGGATTGATCTGACGGAGTGAAAGGGAGGGTTTTTTGGGAGATGGGGTGGGTTGGAGGACAGGGGATGAGACTGCGGGCGGGTGTGTGGATTGGAAAGAGGACGCGGGTGGCTGGGCCTGGGTGGTCCGGGTTACTGGGCCCGCTCACTTTCCATCATCATCATCGGTTGAAAATGTTGTTTTTTTTTTTTACTTCATGTAATTATTTTGATTTAGCCGCTTTCGTCATTCCCTCTAACGATATCATTTAACGGTATGGCTGGACTGACGAAAATGTTGAGTTTTCGATATTTCATCGATACCAATCCACATGGATTAGCAAAAAATAAAGAATCTACTCCCGTTACGACTCGTATCTTCCATCCACAGAAAGCAACCGCAACTCTTCTCTCGAGCAGCGTTCATTCATCTCTTTCTCTTTCTCGATCTGCCACCATTGTTTCCTCCTCCTCCTCTTCTTCTTTTGCGTATAGAGATCGAGGGACAAAATTGGTGATTGGGCTTTGACGGAAGAGGCGACGTCGAGTTAAGGTTTCGACCATGTGGAGTGACGATTAGCATAGGTATACTTTTGTTAAGACTCACGTTAACTTTAACGAAAGATGGCTATAATTTTTTGGCGTTATAAAATGTTTGACTAATATTTTGGAATAAGAAAAAATTTGACTAAAAAATAATATTTAGTCGAAAGTTGATAGGAATAAGAGAAAAACAGAGACGAAGACAAAAATGAAAAGAGAGTTGCGTCTTTTAATATCGCTTTTGTCACTTTCCTTGAGAAACAAAGTGGGCTTGCAAAGTTAATGGGCCACAGAACAAATAAACGTCATTAAGTCCATGAACAAAATGGGCTATAATTTCACTTAGGCCCACTCAAACAGTTCTTCGAATTGATTTCAGAGGCAGCAGCCCATGAACACGGTTTCACACTTCCAAAAGTCAATCACAGGTTTCGCAAGTAGTCTACGGCAGCAACTTTAATTTCCTGGTCTACAAGAAAACAGAAATCGGTTGCTTGTTCTTCTACCGAATGTGAGTATCGTTCTCTAGCTACACTTGAATTCGAAGTCAGCAAAGTGCAAGATTTGTGGTCACGATGAAGCTCGCAGAGAGAAGCAATGAAGCTTCTGGTTGAAATCATCTCGACAAAGAAACCAAAACCCTATTTCCATTTCTAGTGTAGAGAAGAAAGCACGATAAGTGGCCTTTGATAGGTAAGATTCGGTGACTAAGGGGTTTTTTAGTCACTTGTTTTTAGTCGATCTCACCCCTTCAAACTCATTAAAATTCAATAGTTCCAATTAATCTAATTTAATGAATGAAAATATAATAATTACATGATTATTTAATTTATTACTAATTAAAATAATAAATAAAAATTTGAAATACAAGAATTAAAAAAACATAAAAAATATTAAAGTGGTGAGGCTAAACTTATATTTTAGTCCAGTTAAGTGAAATAAATAAGTACGTAAACCCTTTGTAAAAACAAATAAGATAGATTTTAACAAATGACCAACTATGCATTATCCAACATATCTATCAATATATCAAATACAAATTAATATTTTAATTTGGAATCACACATTACATAGATCAAATCATAAAATTCTCAGAAACACGAGTTCGTAACCTCTCACGTAATTTCTTCTCTATAACAGATGCACTATGGTGGATGACCGATCGACACATGCTAATGGTCGGCCCTGCGTCGAGTATTCATCGGTCACCAGAGCTCCAAGAGTTATCAGCTGGCCTGCAGTCGCCTTAGCACGATAAGCTTCAATGACATGAACTGGTACAAACCGATTGTACCACCAGTCGCACCAATTCACTTTTCAAACCAACACAACAGTATAAATCGGTTTGACAATCTTGAAGAGCAGAGCTAACAGATATAAGGAGAATTTGAGGATTCAGTCGACATTTTGAAAGAAGAGAAATGAAAATTGGAAAAAAGGAGAAGATAGACGGGTGTGTTTTGGACAAATGGGGTCGTTGGCCGAAGAAGAAGAAGAAACAACGAGGACTCGTGTAGTACATGTTACATCACCGACAGTGCTCTAAATTTGTTACCGCCAACACGAGTATCATGCATGCCATTGGAATGTTGCATCACTATGGGAACCACGTGGGAAACCTTAACCCTTTTCTCTTAATTAGGGTATACTTTTAAGCAGGTTGGTTATTAGGTGCGGACTTTTTTTATTTTATCCAAATCGAGACCGGATAGCAAACAATCTAATACAATTTTTGGGCCTAGATTTGAGGTAAAAAATAGTTTGGGACCGGACCGAATACCGAATAAAGACTGTATAATAGAGTTCAACACCCAAAATTTAACCTCCTCACTCAAATTCCCCCCTCAGGCCACTCAACCCCCCCCCCCCAGCTCAATCTAAAATCAAGACCGAATTGGAATCAGACATGATCAAGACCAGACTGTATCCAATCCAATCTTTGGTTCTTATTGTTATGGGATAATCCAATTACCACATCGGAAATACAAGGGAAGGAACCCTTGTATATTAGTGTCCACCTTGCCCAATTAGTACGAGGCCTTTTGGGGAGGACACCCAAGAGCAAATCCGTGCGGGCTTGGCCCAAAGCGGACAATATCGTACTAATTGAGCTCCCCAGTTATGACAAGTGGTATCAGAGCCTGGTTCGATTCGGGGGGTGGACGTCAGTTTGGTGGGACCCTCATTCGGTGGACCTCGGGATTTGCGATTTGCATATGTTTGGTGGATCCAGGGAGATCCGCGTTTGATTCGGCAGATCAAAGAGAGTTCTGCGCCTGGGTTGTTTGGTGGATCCAGGAGAGATCCACGTTTGGGTTTGGCGTATCAAAGGAGGTCCGCGTCTGGTTTGGTGGATCCACGAGTGATCCACGTATGGGAAAAACCCTTGTAGTGAGAAGCCCATCGATACAAGGTGTCTGGCGGATCAAGATAATCGTTGAGGAGAGGACACAAAGTTCGTGGTCCTTGTCTTGAGGGGAGGATTGTTATGGGACAATCCAAGTACCACATCGGAAATACAAGGGAAGGAACTCTTGTATATTAGTGTCCATCTAGCCCAATTAGTACGAGGCCTTTTGGGGAGGACACCCAAGAGTAAATCCGTGCGGGTTTGGCCCAAAGTGGACAATATCGTACTAATTGAACTCTCCAGTTATGACACTTATATTCTCGAAAATATTGAATCGAAATCGGATCAATTCGGACTAATTTAACTGAACCGAACCGTATAACCACTCCTACTTTTTAAGAGGGATCCACCACATAATGGTGGAAGTGGAGCCAAAAAGCATATATCAAGCACGGAAGCACATGCTTTATCTCGTTTGATTCCATTTGTTGCCTTTCGATTATAATAACGTTGTTTATGACTTTATCTACGCTGTCTCTCACTTTACACTTGCGTGCATGGGATGGTTAGGAATAGTTAAATTACTTAAACTAATTGTTAGTAACCTTCCGAACCGTTTCATTTGTTGAATGGCAATTTGCTTTCGATATAATTAATCAATAAGTGATTAATGATGGAGCTATAATCGAGAAGCACTTTACTACATGGGACACACATAGTTGGTTGTTGGGAAGTTTATCGTGTTCTCATTCGTATCAAGTCTATTTGGTGCTGTCAATAAAGAAGATGAAGACAAACATATAAATGCATGGGCCAATTGCTTTTAATGGGTGTTTCCCATTGGCCACATGGAGTAAACGTGGAATTAGAAGCAAATGATCTTTCCCAAATTTCACTATAAATGTGTATATGTATGGAAATTTAGGATGTGTTTCGGAGAGACTGTAACAAAGAAAGGAAAGAAAGAGTATACTCCTCTGCAATCTGCATCTTCTTTCGTCGTTGAGTAGCTAAAACATATATAGTATTGTTTGTTTCAAGAGTGTTTTTTCTTAGATCCAGAAAAATTATCACTACACTTTCCGCTATAATACCCAACATCGATCAGTCAGATGGAGTGCGACAAGCGATTCAGCAGCGACTACATGCTGCTGAATCACGAGGAGCTGAGCCTCTCCGACCTCTTCCGCCTCCTCTTCTCGTCGGACGTCGAGAAGAGGAAGGTGGTGGACAGCAAGGAGAACAAGGAAGAGAGCTTCGAGCGGAGATGGCTCATGTTCGTCTCCATCGTGGTTCAGAAGACACTGCAATTCTTCTCCAGGCCACTCTCTTTCGTTGGCTCGTGTATTGAGATGTGGCTCGGCCTCTTGTCGAGCAACGGCGGCTTTGGCGGGCTCTTGCTCAACGTTCTCACGGGGAAAGTGGTGGTTCCTGACAAGGAATCGGCGACGTTCGTCTCGTTCATTGGGAATTTCGACAAGCGGACGGAGTTGGACAAGAGCATTGAGCGTGGAGATCCGAGGTACAATGCCGCACTTGCAATGATGGCCGCCAAAGCTTCGTACGAGAATCCGATCTACATTCAAACTATTGTCAACAATCATTGGCAGGTAATTAGCACACTCTTCCATTGTCTAGAGCTCTCATCTCCAAAAATAATTTAAAAAATGTGTTATAAGATTCAAATTTAATCTTCTTTTTAATAATTCAAGTTCTTGACATAGTAT